GTTTTTATTTTTTATAATAACAAGCTGGAATGAAAACAAGCAAAAATGAAATAAAAGTAACAACTTTCTGCTTCTTGTCTTTTTTAATGTAGTGAGTAGAAAGTACAGATAATTGTGTGAAAATGTAAGAAGTAAAAGTAAAATGTTGGCTGAAAAATAGTTAAGTAAAGTACAGATACCCAAAAATTCTACTTGAGTACAGTAAAGAAGTATTTGTACTTAGTTACTTTACAACTCTGTTTATGATGAGATCAAAAGGAACAAAGACTTAATGAAATATCTGTAAATCTGCCGTTTGTCTTCTAATCTGCCTTCATTCCTCTGGTTCTGTCAGGAGATCATCAGCCGTCAGATGAACTCTGTGTTCAAGGAGCTCCTGTCCCGCCAGCCTCCGCTGCAGCCGTCTGCCCTCTCTGCCCCCGTCACCCCCGTTCCTTCATCGTCCACGTCTTCCTCTCTTACTCAAAACGCCCCCGCTGTCAAAAAGGGATTTGGTTTAAGAAAGACGAGCGCTTTTCAGTCCGGCGGACTGAGATGAAGAAGGGACAACGATGGAATTARTGTTTCACAGCTTGACGATTACTGCGCCGATGCCTTTCAGGCATTTAAGTGAAAATCTAACTTTTAGTTTCCTTTTTTTTATTTTATTTTGGACCTGTGAATAACAGTTARGTCTGCCATCTCATAGTGCTGCTTGTCCTGGTGCCGTGTAGCTGTGCGTCAAGTGTGTCTGTTTTCCAGCTGGTTCTGTTTCGGTGTTTTGTTTTCAGTTCTGGCCTGCTTCGTTCTCCCGGGTTTTTATTTTATTTTTTTATTATTATAAWTTTTTTTTTGCAACGTTTGGAGAATCTGGGATGTGGCTTCACCGGCGATCTCACCAAGACAAACGTCAGGACACGGCTCCGTGCGGAACTGATCGCTCATCAACACAGTCCTTAATCTGCCCCTAGTGACAGTTCTGAGATCAGCTCACCTTGATTTTTTATTTTATTTTTTTTTATTCTGGAGTAAAAACTGATCTGAGTCCTGTGCCTAGGTGTGCCTTCACTTCTTTTTATTTTTATTTTTATTTTTTTTGGCATTTTTGGACATTTGTTTGACTTGAAAAGACCAGATAAGTTCAAACATTGCATATTAAATTATAAAAAGTGAGTCAAGATAATGATGATGGATCCAAAAGTGTTCCGTATTTTATTATTTTTTTAAGTAAGACAAAATTTGGAATTTGGCAAGATAGCAACTCTCAGTTAAAGTTGACACATCCTGCTTTTAAATCCTTGCTTTTCACATTTAAATCATTCAGCTGGGGTCTTTATAAAGTGGAACTACAACGCTTTGGTCAGAATTCCTCTTTATTCTAACTTTATCAGCCTCTTTTTCACCACTTTTCTGGTGTTTGCCTCAAAGCAGCTGGTTTTGTTACCGTTCCTTTAAGAAGTTCCAAGCTCCGCCCCCCTCCTGCTTCCAGACCGGTCCACTCCGGTTTGAGAGAGTGGGTTACATTTTCTAGCTTGCATGTATTATTATTATTATTATTATTATTATTATTATTATTATTACAATTTAATTAAAACGGCAAACTTGTCCATCCAGCCTTACATGTTGGAGCCAGAGTCTGACCCAGAACCAGAGTCTGACCCAGAACCAGAGTCTGACCCAGAACGAGAGGAAAATGAAGATGAGGAAATTGTATTTGGTAAATCCAGACCTTATTTAGCAGTTCCGTTGCTGATAATTTAGACTCAGAAAACATCATAGAAAATGGAGAAAACTGAACGGGCTGAAGAATCGGACCCAAACAGAATATAAAGGTATCTTTGCAGCACCAGGAGAGACTAAACTCAACTTTTCTGCCTRTTAGAGACTGTCCACAACAAAATGTATTTAACAGCTAAAAAYGTGGATTTTGCAGGATATGTCCCCTTTGAGAGACCTACACATCACCATGCCATTCAGTAGTTTGGTTAATTAAAAGTATCAYTGGTTCACTATGAGTGAGGTCGGCTTCCTCAGTATTGTGTTCTCTGCTCCGGTCRGTTGGGGTGAAACAGGAACTGAGCTGGTTGAAGCAACAAAATAGAGTTTTTAAGCCACGCCTTTAATCTCTAATAACCTGTCGMTTATTTCATACTTATTTATTGAATATTGAACACTTTGTGGGTCCATCTGTGTTAGCTGGGAAATCTATTAAATCATTTTTTTTATACATAGCAGCACGCAGTCGCAGAAAAAATAAAAAAAATATGAACCCACACAGACTGGAAACACGTCCCCCGTTGTATGTGACACATGGCTTGAGAGACAGGCCAAATCTCAGGGCTTTTGCAGCGTTAAAGACGGGCTAACTCAGGTTTGGCTTTGAAAGAAAACGTAAGGGTTTCTCACTCAGGTCTTTGGTCGACTAACGGTGAGGTTCATTCGGACTTTGAAGTTGGACATTTCAAGAACTKCCTTGGATTTCTGACAGGAAGTTGTTGGAGGAATATCCATATCCATATATGCCYTTTAAAGGCCAGTGAGTGACTGATTTTAGGCTTTTTTTTTGTACGGCTCAGCTGTGTTTTCAGTCCTAACTTCCAAGTCAAATGAAATTCACCGAAGCTCTCCAACTAGAAACTGTGCCCAGTAAGCCTCAAGAGCCAAAATGGTCCCCCAATATCAGAGAGKTCCTCTGTTTGAAACTGTGAAACCCACGGCGGCATTTGAGAGCCACAATTGAAACTCTGATTTCTTTCTTTCACTCATTTCAACCCCCCACCCCATATTTAAATCAGTCCAGTCCACTGGTTCAGTATAAATGTGCTTTTGGATTCTTTTCATTGCAGTTTAATTCGAAAAGCGTTGAAATATATATATATATATATATATATATATATATATATATATATATATATATTGACACCTGTAAACCCCCCAGTCTTTTTCTTTCTTTCTGTGATGTACAGAAGTAGAATCTTCAAAACGTTTCTGCTCCTGTGAATAAAAACACCCCCGGTAATTTTAAGTCACTGTTTGGTGTGATAAAGTTTACTGTGTTCAAATGTACGTGTGAGTTTAAAAAAAAAATGGTTACAATAAAGATGACGAAGCACTTAAACATTAAGTCGTTGTTGGTGCATTTAAAGGACGAATGCAGAAATGCGATCAAAAAGAGATTTTGTCATCGCAGTCTCGGAGCTGTGAAGAGAACCGACGTATTTTTATCCCGGGGAAACATTCCTGTGCGGTCGTTACAATCCTCAGCTTTGATGTTAAAAATCACTAAATCACGCAAACAGTTTATCTTTAACGTTTTAGATCAATGATCATTAACTTCCCGTGGAAGATGTGTGGTTAAATGTGACATTGTTTCAGATTCTGTGTTCAGACAGCACCCCTCCACTGTAATTTGATCTTTTGGACTTATCCACTCCTTCTCCTAAAATAACCCTTTCCTGAAGCCAACTAACACACACACACACACAAGGAATAAGAAGTATGGCTGCACCACATTAGCGCCTCTGTTCCTCTAAGTATTAGGCTGACGGTGTATGGTGGAAACACTAACTGAGCTCTGAGGGACGTTTTAAATCCAGATTCTGCCACCGAAACATTGTCTCTCTGCTAAAGTTTTCTGCCATCTGTACAGGATTGAGATTTATTCTTCAGCCAGGTAAGACAGACGTGATTTATTATCCATAACATAACCAGCAGATCCACTTTGATGGTCCCTAAATCAGGGACCCTGGTCCTCGAGGACCACTGTCCTGCAGGTTTTAAACGTTTCTCTGTTTTGACACATCTGGTTTGAATGAATGATTGATTAACAGGCTTCTGTAGAACTTGAAGAAAAGCAGGGGAACAAAAAAAAAACAAAAACAGGCAGGATTAGTGGCCCTTGAGGACCAGGGTTGGACACCATCAACGTTGACACCACCAATAATTAAAATCAACATTTAAGCCTGAATGACAAACCTGCATTCAGATTAGTTTGAATTTTACGTTTGCAGTCATAAAATAACTATTTGTTTCACTTCGAAATAAAGTGGATCCTAAAATCCCCCCCGGCTGCTATTTACAGGTTTTAGTGAGCCATCTTTAGGGCGACTGAGTGACAGGTGGTAGCTCCCTGCCCGAGGAGTGGGCTCAGTCTGATAAACGACTTTCTGTTTCCGAAGCGTTTTTTTTTCTTCTCCCAGTGAGGATGATGATGGTGAACGACGACACTCTGGTGGAGTGTAAGATAGACGACAGTGACGAAGATGAGATGAACACGCCCCCTCCTCCTCCTCCTCCGGAGTTCGCATCCAAGGCTTCAACTCCAGGTCCCAAAGCTCCGACGCCTCCTGCGGACCCCGCCACACCCACACCAACCCCAGCTGCCAACAGAGATCCGAACGGCATCAACCGACACCTAAAGGTGCTCTTCCTTATTTACGTTTACATTTTAGATGAATTCCAGTCATAATTCAAAACGCTTAAGATAAATTTTATTCATTCAATTATAGTTCAGTTCAGCGGCGTCAAACTCATTTTAATCGAGGGCCACATGAGCATCATGGTGGCACAATAATGGAGCTCTACCTGGTGTTTCCTGCATAGAAACAGTGTTTAACACGCAAACACTGAAAACGACTACGAGTACGACTGACTGAATGTGAAATAAATGCAACAAAAATACTATTAAAAGTGAAAGTAAGAGAGTTTTACTCACTGATGGTTTGTAGCAAGCAGCTGCCGTCTTGAATTCTGAATTCTCCCACTTTCCGACAGGGAATTCCCACTAAGTGGGCGTTCTGGTTTAAATTTACGACTTGTAAGTAGGAAATTTCCACTTCCCAGTACAACTGGGCCTCAGCAAAAGTAGTCTGCAAAAAAAAAAAAAAAGGGCAGTGAAATAGAGATTTTATACTGCGACTCAACGGCTACTTCAACCTATAGGATGCCATTATAAAATAAACAGCATGCATCAGGGGATATGCAGTTTATGGTCAATGCTGGCTTTAAAACAACTTATTTTAAGACATTAATTTATCTTTGAAGCTCTTGTGGGCCGCATAAAGTGCTGTGTCGGGCCACATTTGGCCCACAGACCTTTAGTTTGTAGTTTTTGCAGGTGCACTGGAGTTATTTCAGTCTCATCGAGTTAATTGTGTATGTTTTTGTTATTGTAGGTGGAGGTCAGTGACGTACTGGTTGAACCCGCTGCACCTTACAGCATGGACATAGTTTGGGTTTCCAGCCTGGTTGGCTTTGAAAGGACTCGTATCTGGACGTACCGCTGCCTCACCGTGCTGTTTGCGGTGCCCCTCGCTTTCCTCTGTGGGTTTTTACTGGCTCTTCTGGCCTGCCTGCGTGTCTGGTATGCAGTGGTCACTTTTAGGCCATTTAACCACAGAAAATACATTAGAGCTGTAAACATGGCATTTCTCCCATATTGTTACATATTTTTTTTTACAAATAAAGCAATTTATGCTCGTCTGTACTTCAGAATGCAAGTATTAATTTTTACCAGGGTAAATGTTTTGTTAGTATGATAATTAAGCATTAATCTGATTATTTCTCTCTCACTGCTTGTTAGAATACAGCTCAATGAACGCTATGTTAAACTAAACTTTCAGTGATGTATACAAGTCTTAAAGTATAAGCTTTTATTTTTAAAATTACACTCACCTACATGCTTTAATCAGGATATAGCTCAGTGATTTGTGTGTTTATCAGGTTTTATCCTCTCATTCCCACAGGTTCCTGGTTCCTTGTTTACAGCTGAGTTACACCTTCCTCCCCTGCTTGCGCTCCTTGTTTGTGTGCGCCGTGAACGACTTCGTCTCTCCTTTCTGTTTGTCTCTGGCTCTCTGCTGCACTCAGATCTCCATCTCGCTGTCGAACAAAGACTGGAATCATAAGAGGGACAAACACACTGTATGAATATAAAAAAACTATGAGTTTAATTAAGTGAAAGAGTGACTGTGTGAATGGGACAGAGAGAGAGAGAGAGAGATTTTAGCATGTTTTTTTTAGGCTTTTACATGTAAAAAATGTTTGTTAATGTAGTAGTAATTGTTATAATAGTACAGTAACTATTTTTGTTTGTATTCTATTTATTTTTTATTTTTCGCATATACAGTACATTATTTAAATAAAAGTGTTGACTAAGTCCAAATAATGTTTTTGGAGTGAATTAATTTGTCTATCCATCCATCCAACGTTAATAGGAGATAGATAGATAGATAGATAGATAGATAGATAGATAGATAGATAGATAGATAGATAGATAGATAGATAGATAGATAGATAGATAGATATACATATATTGCATGTCAAAGATACAAACTAAGAGAATATAGATTAACATACAGCAAACAGAAAATCCAAAAATGCAATATTTGTCGCCATTTAATTTTATTTTAAATTAAAAAATTAAATAACATTATGTTGTTAAATATATTCTAATTTCAATATTGTTTAAGCCATTTTCAAACTTTACAGGACTGTTGCTGCTTTCAATAGCTCCTAAGTTAGTGTGTTATTTTCCATGACATAATTCATATTTTAATGCAACTATATGTACTTTATCAGCAACACATTTCAGGTAATTGTTAAAAATAAAGAATTTAAACATTGCTTTAAATAGTTTGTGAAATTTATGATATGTAATAGTGGATTAAGGTCTGTTTTCCTGTACAACTCGCAAGAGAAAATATGTATTCGCCCTGACCAAGATGGCCGACGCAAGGTTGACACGCTCATTTGCGTCGGTCTCAAAACCTTTACGTAACTACCCAGAATGCACTTCACTGCCGCCATCTTTTTTGTTATGGTGGATGGAGATGTGCGTCTTCGCGGTCCTGTCAAGATTATAATTTGARTTTAGAATTCAACGTCTTTAATCGCTGCTTTTTGGGTTTTTTTTCTTAATATATAATTTATTTGGAAAAGAAGTTTCGAACTTGAAGGAAGCAAGATGGCGCAGTACAAAGGAGCTGCCAGTGAGGCGGGCAGAGCGATGCAGCTGATGAAGAAGCGAGAAAAAGAAAGAGAGCAACTCGAACAGCTCAAGCAGAAGATAGCAGAGGTTTGTGACTCTTCGCAATTTTTTTAATTGACATATTTTTAGTTGGTCGCGTGCAATGGGATTTATTAAAAATAACTTAAGTCTAGTTTTAATAGACAGGAGGTCAGCCCCACACAGACAGAAACCTGAAACTGAACTCTCTGCCTCCCATTCTACCTTTAGAAGCTCTAGGAGTCACAAGTAAACCTGCAATCTGAGATTGAAGGATTCTATTGGGGGGAAATGGAGCTATATGATGTTTAATATAAGGTTGAAGTCAAAACTGGACAAATATAATCTCCCATTAACTCTCATCAGAACTCAAGATCCAGTTTAAAGATTTGTTAAAACTGAAACTAAACTGCATATTTTGTGTTCATTGTTTTGCAGGATAACATGGTCAAAGCCAACATTGATAAGAAATTCTCCGCTCACTATGATGCTGTGGAGGCAGAGCTGAAGTCCAGCACAGTTGGTGAGGACAGTTTCACAGAATATAAATAAAGCAAAGCAACCTGAGTCTTTGATTTTTTTTTTCATCACATTTATTTATTTTTATTTGTGTTCAAATGTCTCGATCAGGTCTGGTGACCCTGAACGACATGAAAGCCAAGCAGGAGGCGCTGGTAAAGGAAAGAGAGAAGCAGCTGGCCAAGAAGGAGCAGTCCAAAGAACTGCAGCTGTGAGTTAACACAGATTTATCAATGAGCTGTGTCAGATCATCTAAAAAAAACAAGATAATCAGACAAAAAGTTACATTCCATGAGCGCAGTTCTTGCTTGGTTTCCAAAAATGCTGTGGCAGAAATGAGGCCATCGATCAGAGCCCATAAATCAGTTCTACTTGACCCAGTTCCTTCTAAAAGTTGCTAATTTAAATTATGTATTAATGTGAGCCGTCACATCGAAATGAGTTTTAAGTCTAAAAGTGGTATGTGGAGAAAAAGGCAAATATGTTTTGATTAAAATTTTTGCAAAAATTGCATTTTGTCAGAACATAATGAATAAATGCTTTATCAATGTTTCATTTCAATGAACTGTCTGAAATATAATCAGAAAACAAGATTTTGATGCACTTTTTTGGGCGGTACCAACAAAAAAACAGATTTTTAGGAAAAACGCCTTAAAATTTTGAGATTTTCCCTGTGAGCTAGAAATGTTTTTGTTTCTTTTCAGATGGAAAATCTCAATATTCAAATACTATCTGAAGTTTCTTCTTTAGATTGACATTAAAAATTCCCCATTAAAATTACATAAAATTAGGATTCAGAACAAGTATGGTAATATCGTAACCAACAAGACAAATGAGGTCATATCTCTGGATAAGCTTATATCAGAATGATCCAGGTATCAAAATGTAGCTTTTAAAGCAGGAATCTGAAAATGTGATTAGGTCATTTTAACCAAATTCTACTTACCGTATTTTTCGGACTATAAGCCGCACCCGCCATTTTTTTTTAAAAAATGCGTGAACATCAACATATAAGCCGCACCGGACTATAAGCCACACCCCCCACCCCCCATCAGTAAAAACAAAAACAAAACAGTACACCCAAAATTGTGGTCAAAAAAGTGAATTCAACGTCACAATTATTTTTAAGAAAAAGGTTGGCAAGTTCACCGGAATAAAATAATGATAATAATAATAATAATAATAATAATAATAATAATAATAATAATAATAATAATAATAAACTCTCGGAAAAAAAGGCGAGATGTCTGGAATTAAAACATAAAAAGCAAACCTTTAGAAATTACCGGTAAAGTTCGGAGGAATACGGTTCATTCAACTGACCTTATTTTGGTAGTTTTCTTTAACCGTTTCTGGTCCAACAAAAAGTCTCATTCATCGTCCTCAGGCGCACTGAAAACATCGAAATCCTCCTCTTCAGTGTCGGAGTTAAACAAGCTGCGTCACACAGCGGTACCTGTTCAGTTTCTGTGTCGCTGTCCTCCTGGGCTGGCTCTGAAGCTGTGGTGTCCTCTTCACGTAGCAGTCCAGCCTTTCAGAACCCATTTGTGATGTGGACTCGTTCACTCTGCTCCATGCTGTTAGAATCCACTGACAGACATCAGGAAATGTCGCTCTTCTCATTCGGCCAGTTTTTGTGAATGATTTATCCCTGTCAGTCAGCTGCTGGGAAAGCCCTCCCCCTCCAGCATACATCACTGCATGGGATTCCTTCCCCGGGGAGCAATGCAGAAAAAAAAAGGTCAGCGGCTCTTCACTCGACGTTTATCCACAAACTGGTCCTGGATTAAGCTCCAAAGTTTTTGTCAGATTCCACTGTGAAAAATGTCTGTTTTATCCCCTTTTATGAGTTTTTGGCCATTGACTAGCTTTAAATCGCTGCTTCCTGGTACAACAGTCGGCTCTGGAAGGATAGCTTTTTTCTTCTTTTTTTTTTCCTTTCTTTTTTGAAGCGAGTGGTTGAAGCAAATAGAGCATAAGAGCCCCCTGGTGGCTGAAGAAAAAAATCCACGTATAAGCCGCACCGGACTATAAGCTGCATGGTTCAAAGTTCAGGAAAAAAGTCGCGGCTTATAGTCCAAAAAATACGGTACTCAAGTAAAGTACAGATACCCAAAATTTCTACTTAGTGCAGTAACAAAGTATTTGTAGTTACTTTAAAACTCTGAGGCCGAATAGGTTGTAAGAACCGCTCTGAAGCAGGTGGGGACCACCTGATGGGAGGTCTGTGAACTCGCTGATTTCACTGAGTCGTTTCATCGAAAATTGAAAAGCTTTTTTCTTTAACTATGAAACAGAAAGTCGACTGATTATAAACAGTTTAACCACTTCTTATAATGAAAGATTTATGTTTGTTTTTAATAGCTGGGCTTCCAGTTTAAACACGACCTAAAAGAAAAGTTGTTTCTCTGAACGTGCTGATTTTTAAACCTGTTTGGCGAGCCGGCCAGGTGTTTCTGCTGGCTCTGAATTTTCAGCTGGTGCAGTTATCAGTTTGACGTTAATTACTAATCTTTTAAAGCAGACAACAGAAGGAGTGGTTTAACATTCAGCAATGTTGAAATCTTGGAAAAATTAGCTCCGGTTCGCACGACTTGACAGTTGAAGATAAGCAGATTAAACCTAAACAGGCGTGGACGCCTCCAGGTGATGCTTTCTGTAGGAAGACTGGAGCTACGATGTGGGTTTTTACCCTCAGGGTTCAGATGATCAAATTAATTTTACTGATGTTTTTATGTCGAAAAAATGTAAACACAGACAATAGACATGATGAGGCTGGCCGCTGTTTAGGTCTTTCAGCACTACAGCGATGAAGAGGAGAAGAGATTTCCCACAAAACACACCACTGTCTGAAAACCAACATCCTGTGTTTCTGCTCACTAAGTCAAGCATTTTACTTTCTTTACAGCAAGCTTGAAAAACAGAAAGAGAAGAAGAGAAAGGAGGAACAGAAAAGAAAAATCGCCAGTTTATCTTTTAATCCTGATGATGAGGAGGAAGAGGAAGAAGATGATGATACTGATGAGGACAAGAATGAAGAGGAAGAACTTGATTGTGAGTATTTGATGTTTGGGATCTCGCAAACTTCAGCCCTTTTTAAGCTTTTCGAGTTTGAGCCTCAATAACAAACTGATGAACTTTTTCCAAGAAAAGAAGGGCTGCCGGACTTTAAAAGACAATTTTTTTAAACTAATAAATCTGACGTCCCCAATAGCAGGAGGCTATATCTGTTCATAAGCCAGGTATTGATCTGATTAATGATAGACCGGCACCGCTAACTGAGAGTCCAGCGCTGGCAAATGAAGAGACTTTTCATTTGAGTTAGCATTGCTGAGGCTAGCAACTAGCATGGATAAGCTGGTGTTAGCATCAGAGAGGCTAGTGACTTGCATAGATAAGCTGGTGTTAGCATCGGAGAGGCTAGAAACTAGCATGGATAAGCTGGCATTAGCATCGAAGAGGCTAGTGAGTAGCATGGATAAGCTGGCATTAACATTGGAGAGGCTAGCAACTAGCATGGATAAGCTGATCTAGCATTGGAGAGGCTAGTGACTAGCATGGATAAGCTGGCATTAGCATTGGAGAGGTTAGTGACTAGCATGGATAAGCTGGTGTTAGCATCAGAGAGGCTAGCGACTAGCATAGATAAGCTGGTGTTAGCATCGGTGAGACTAGATACTAGCATGGATAAGCTGGTGTTAGCATCGGAGAGGCTAGAGACTAGCATGGATAAGCTGGCGTTAGCATCGGAGAGGCTAGTGACTAGCATGGATAAGCTGGCGTTAGCATTGGAGAGGCTAGTGACTAGCGTGGATAAGCTGGCATTAGCATCGGAGAGGCTAGTGAATAGCATGGATAAGCTGGCGTTAGCATCGGAGAGGCTAGCAACTAGCACGCCTAGGCTGCTCACCTACTTTATTAGACACTTTTTTTAATAAAGGAAAACTTAATCATCAAAAATGTTTAACATACAAAAACTATAAACAACATGCAGTGACTGGTGTTCCTGAGACAAAATTTACTGTTCAACATGACATCAAGCATAAATATTAAACATAAAACATATTACTGTGAAGCAGACAGCTTTTGTTGCCACCTGCTAATGCAAATGAATAGTCTCCTTCTGATTTGCCAGTGTCAGCCTCTCAGTTACCGGAACCAGCTGCGCAGTTAGCGGTGCCAGCCTATCAATAATCAGATCAATAGCTGATTTAGGATTAGATAAAGTCTTAATTTTGGCCCTCATACTGCGCCATACTGTCCTGCATGTTTTAGCCTTTTCACTGCTTCGACACATCTAATTCAGATAATAAATTCCTCAGAATGTAAAGTTTTATCACCCAGTCTCCTTTTCTCCAGCTCCTTCACTCACCAACATCGTTTCCTACAGGTGGTCCAGTTAAGAAGAAGAAACTAGGAAAGAACCCAGATGTGGACACAAGTTTTCTTCCAGATCGAGACAGAGAGGTAAAGGACATTAGTATTTTTAGCTGCATCATCATAAACCCTATTTATAAATAGAAACACTGTTTTTTTCTAATTTTTATCTTTTATTTTTGCTGCTTCTGGTTTCCAGGAACAGGAGAATCTCCTCAGAGAGGCGCTCCGACAGGAGTGGGAGCTGAAACAGGAGAAGATTAAGAGTGAGCGTCAGAATTAGCGTTGATGTTTTGATGATATTTTGTCCTTCCTGTTATAATTTTCTCTGTATAATTTCGGTTTGTTGTCTTTAGATGAGGAGATAGAAATTACCTTCAGTTACTGGGACGGTTCTGGACATCGGAAAACCGTGAAGGTGCACTGAGATATACGTTATTAAAAAAACTATACTGGGATTTTTTTTAAATAATTAAGTAACTCAGATTTTATGGCCTGAAAAAACTTTTGAGACACTTTTTTTGTTGTTGTTGTTTTTGTTGTAACATGCTGTGCACCATGTGTGTTTCTCCTGCAGATGAAGAAGGGAAACACCATCCAGAACTTCCTGCAGAAGGCCCTGGAGGTCCTTAGGAAGGATTTCAGCGAGCTCAGGTGAGTCCAAACATTAAAGCTGGTTTAATAAAGACAGAAAATGTTCATTTCTAAATCTCCTGCAGTGTGTTCTTTATATAACAAGAAGATATTATCAAAAGAATTCTGGGGAATTTGACCAAATTAGCTAAAGGACTGAGATTTACATGGATGTACAAAGGATAAACATTAGCCTGGGACTATCAAACGGCTAATTCTGATAAAAAAAAAAAAAAGGTAGAAAATAATATTTATATTCCCAATTGTAATTTACAATGGACTATTATTATCATCTAATATATATTATTTATAGCCTGTTAGGTAATTTGTTTTCAGGAGGCGCTGGGGGGGCCTCAGAAACCTGGAGTGATAAAAAAGAAAAGTAATTTAATAAATGTTTTAAATCGTTAGCATAAATTTAATATGCTTTTCAATCATTATAAAATATTATTTTGAAGTATTTAAGAGTTTGATTTCTTATATACATATCTATGGTGATATAG